CTATGCAAGGCACTATTCAATTTAATTGCTGCTATGGGTGTAACTGGTGCTTGCATCCAGGTGTGCGCGTTCGTCATAATACTGGTTATTCTATAAAGTATCCTTTACTGGATCAACACCCCGAAAGACGTACAGCAAATACTACATTTGAACTAATGCAAAGATCGGTTGAGTCAAACATTCCAATTTCTGGTATAAAAAACGTTACACCATTATTGCTTCTGAATGATTTTGATATAATTGATGGATTTGTTCCATGTTCGAAGCACTGCATTGATCTTGGAATAGGCAAACAATTTTGTAATTATTGGTTCGCTTCATCAAATGAGCCTTACTCGATTCCTAAGAATAAAAAACCTATCATTGATCAGTATTTGAAAAACATAAAATTACCTTCTCAGTTAACACAATTGTCACGTCCTCTGAGTGATCGTGCATATTGGAAAGCAGCTGAGTGGTTAAATTGGATTCTGTTTTATAGTATACCAATATTAAGGTTAATATCTCAAGAGATTTCAGAAATTGAAGACTACATGAATCACTGGTCGTTAATTGTAGAAGCTTATTATATACTATTGCAATCTGAAATAAAGGTTCCTTAGCTACAAAAAGCAAATCTTCTTTTAAACAAATTTATTTCCGGTATAGAGCTGTTGTATTCAGTTGATGCGATGACATACAATGTTCATCAATTATTACATTTAGCACAGAGCGCTGCTGATTGGGGTCCATTGTATGCGCATAGCGGCTATGTATTTGAATCGGGTAATGGGAGAATAAAAAAACTATATATGCAGCCAATGGCGTTTTAAGCCAAGTATGTCGCTATCTGTCTTTTGAAGAAAGTGTAAGACAGTAACAAAATCATGTGCAAATGAAAGAAGACTTAGTTTGTATGGAATACAATAAATATTTAGAAAATAACGTCGTTGAAAAACGTGTCAAATTTCGATTCCGATATTTTGGAAGCACCGCAGCTAATGTAGATGTATTAAGACAATTTGAACTTCCTATAGAAAAAGTAAGAGCCTACAAAAAAATTATTAAGGATGGATGCCCATTCAAGTCAAGTGAAAAAATCTTGTACAGATCAGACAATTCATTTGCAAGTTTAAAAAATGGAGATTTCATAGAGATTCAACAATTTCTCGTGAATACAGATGATGCAAAAGAGTATGTTACATACAGAAAGATTGCGGTAATAGACGATTATAATCCAATCAGTGATGAATTATATTGCATTAAACGAGTTTCAGAAAAAATTCCAAATATTTAAATCACATACACAGTAAATATTGATAAAACCTGTGTTTATTTGACAATAGGAGGAAATGATTATCTAATAAGTGTTCCTAATATGTATTACAAATAAAACAAATTAGCGAGTCATGTATTATATTATTTTTAATTTTATAAATACTCACACTCACACGCGCATGCACACACACACACACACACACACAAGTTCAAAATCCTTAAATTCCCTTTCAATTAATCAATTAAATCAAAATTTACCAAAGATGCTATATTCATGAAAGACTTACAATGTACCGAACGGATATTTTTCCGGCACGCTTCTTATTAATTAGTTTTTACCCCTGATATCGTAGATCAAGAACTTTATTTAAAAAATAATTTCGGACCAACTGAATTTCAATTATCCATGTGACCAAATGGATTTCCTGGAATAAATCCACTCGGAATTCCAGAAAATATATCTGTATTTCCTATAAAAATTCATCTGGTCTCCCTAGAAACGCATCTGAATCTCCAATAAAAATCCATCTGAAAATCCAGAAAATCCATCTGTACTTCTTATAAAAATCCATCTAGAAATTCAGAAAATTCATTTGGATTTCTTTAAATAAATCCACCTGGAATTCGAAGAAATGCACCTGGATTTCTTTAAATAAATCCACCAGGAAATTGAAAAAATGCATCTAGATTTTGTGAAATAAATCCACCTGGAAATGGAGTATATGTATCTGGATTTCCTCAAAAATCCATCTGGATATTTAAAAAATCTACCTGGATTATCCAGGGCATCCATCAGGAAATCCATCCTGGAATTCCATAAATATCCATATACGAGGTCTGTCCGGATGGTATCGGGCCTACCTTTATATTTTCGTGCTAGCGTTATTCTTTATCATCTGGTGGGTGGCATCCTTCAAAGTAATCCTCATTTGATTGAATAACACGGTTCCATTGATTTTTCCACTTTTCAAAACAGTCTTGGAACTCACTGTTAGGGATAGCCTTAAGTACACTCGTCGCATTTTTTTTCAACCGTTGTTTTGTCATCGAATCGGTGTCCTTTGAGTGATTTTTTTAGTTTTGAAAACAGCCAAAAGTCACAAGAGGCTATGTCGGGACTGTATGGAGGTTGTCGAAGCAATGCGAGCATATTATGTCACTTATATGCAAATAAATTGCTTGAACTGCAGTGTTAAAACTTTGGATTTTCTTATTTTTGGGTTCAAGGTTGAAGATGGTATGCTGATACCAGCGAAAAATGAACAATTATTACCCCCTATAGAAGAATCTGTATCTAATTGTGTTAGTAAACTATGTGCCAATAAAATGAGTTGTTGCGTATAAGCACAAATCGCTTGTTGTGAATTCTGTTCGTGTTTTAAGGACAAAACATGTAAAAATAAATTTAATCTTGTTTAAATTAATGAAAAATGTTAATATATATAGTTGATAATGTTTCTCACAATAAAAGTTAATGCATACACACACAATGATTTTAAGAGTCTAAGACTTTGCGGAGCGAGCGCGCGGGCACATAGCGAAAACGCATAATATATAAACATCACTGGAAAGACAAAGGTTAAAGGAATCCAAAATGAGTCTGGGTCGAAAAATTCAAGTTTTCATAGGCTACCGAAAACTCGAATTTTCCGGAAAACGCCCCACTTTTCATAAATTCTGAACCAGATATTCGAATTTAGCGGGAAATTGGATATAGAACTTTAGTTTTTGTGAGGTTTATCCTCGATGCATACGGGAAGGTACCTAGCTCCTGGAGTATTTTAAGAGGAATTGAAAGCTATCTAATATCAATGTATACCGTTGTGGTATTTCCTTCAAATCTACTAAACTCATGGGATTAGGAGAAAAATTCCTGAGATAAATGCGTAAGACTTTACGTGAGACTACAATTTTTTACCTGAGGGAACTCCTTGCAGTTCCTAGCGCAGAATATTATCGGAGGGTATTTCAGGATGATCTTTAGCAGTGTTCTTAATTTTAGCCACCGACCGTACACTTTTCACCTTTTCATGGTTGGATGCATAAATGTGAGGAGAATGATCAATGCCCTTATAAATCACGATGTTGTCAAGATCTATTATACGAGTAGATACTGAATTCATGTTCTGCACTCATCTTTATTCCAATAATTCCAGTTTTTCGAGCACGAATATTTATTGCATAAGATCTCGTCATTGTGTGAAAAATGATATTTTTTATATTTAATTAACTCAATTGTATTCATTTTTGATTTACTAGAAATTTTGATGAAGTGCCGAATGTAACTAAAATTTCAACATCGGCTGCTGATAGACGAATGAAGGTGGTTTCAAAAACAATAACATATTGCAAATTGATAGAAATACTCTGATTATTTATAATACTGATAGTAAAACATTATTATCGATCATCGAGATAAAATATAATTTTAGAAAAACAATATATTGTTAAAAAAATTTCGTCAGGAAAAAGGGATATTAGGAAAAAATTGTTCGAAAAACTATTTTGGCAAGTGTCCCCGTACTATAAAAACTACTGAATACTATAAATGCACTTAATCTAAGACTGTATGATATTTATTTTAATAACTTTGTTACTAGTTGTTACTGAATTGTTAGTTGATTTAGACAAATTAGGACGTGTGATCCTTTTATTAGAATCATTAGATCTTTTTATTATAATAATTTGAACTTTTCTGACAAATGTTCTGATTGTAAAACTTAACAAATGGCCATAATTATAAGATTAGTATGTACTAAAGATAAAGCGACGAATAACGCTAAATAGCATTGAAGCAAAATGAATAATTTATTAATCATCAAATCAGTTATAAATCTGGAAAATAGTGTTGTTTAAGAAAACGTAGAATCAGGATCCGAAAATTTTGCATTGTGTCCGAGCAATTTTATTGTAACAAATGTTAAAAAAGTATACGTGATAATTTATAGAAAAATATAGCTAATAGAAACTCATAAATACGAGGAAAGATAAAAATACAAAAAACAACTCTTGCCAGTCGTCTACCCCTTGCGGTGGGAATCGGAAAACTTTGATGGATTGGGAGCATGATAAACTTTGATCTTAATATTTAAATATTTAGATGCCTGTGTGAGAAAAGTACAGAATTACTTAAAATATAGTCATGAATAACTATAAAATATCAACTTTATTGTATTGTAAGTAAAGAAAAAAGTAATTAGACCTGAACAATTGCATATTTTCAAGAATCGTACTGTACCCGTAGAGAATAAATATAGAAAGTGGAAATTTACCGTTTCAGACGTTAATGGCTTAATTTGAAATTTATTGCATAATTAATTTATATCAACGGATTAAAAAGGCATAAATAGTGAACCACGTACTTATAACATTATTATTAAAATATTAAATATTAAGATAGTTGTTTCATTGTCATGTATCAAGCAAATTTTTTTAAATTTAATCTCTGAAAATTATATGGCATACTCCTTAAATATTTAAGTATAAGTAGTTTATTAACATACGCGTATTTAATAGCATTTGAATTAATAAATGATACAACAAAAAGTAAAATGTATATGTAACTCTGATGAGTCATCACAGAGCGCAGGCGTCAGACGGTCTTCATCCACCTACCATGCTATTCGCTTTACCCTATTTTCATTGCCTATCTTTGTCTTACTAACGGGTAAAACCTTGTGATAGGCTGATCGATATGGCAATGCTAACGGACTACTGCTAGACTCTTATTTGGTGACGTATAGTCGAGACTTTCTCTTCGTCAAGGACATATCGTGCCCTCAACTATTTCATAACTAGTCGTGTTTCTATAACTACTAAATTTTAGTTTTCATAAACAAACTAAATGATTAAATGTATTATAAAGCTAAGAGAAAGAATAAATACTTATATACTTGAAAATCAATTGTTTATAATAAACAAGTGAGAAACTAACCTGATTCAGTGGAAGCTTTAAAAATTTTCATATAAAAATCAATTGACATAAACTACAATAGAAAAATAAATAATAAATATAGAAATTTAAAGAAGATTAGTTTTGGCTAAGGGTTGCAAAAAATAAAGAAAAAGGAAAAGAAGCAAAAGATCTTTTATAAAGGACAGCATAAAAATTAACAAAAAAAAAGTGAAAAATCAACTGAATAATTAGTGGCCAAATTAGCGGGTGATACTTCAGAAACAATTGATTAGAGTAAATAAGACTAGTAAATAAATAATCTGATATAACGATATATTGGCTGGATATATTGAATTGAATCCTACGATTTATTGGAAAACGGCTGGGTGACAGTAGATATTTGTCCTTTTATAATCATTTTCGGAAACACCCTCAAGACGGCCAACCCTCGTCCTCGTTGTGTAGCCGGAGACCCGCTGTACGTCAGCTACGCGGAGCTTCGTCGGAAACAGAAGCCGGATCTGCAGGATCCGTCTCAATCTAACTGGCCCTCTAAAAGATGGAAGACAAACTGTCTTCACGTTTCTCCGAATATCTTTTTGCAAAAATGGATGGTCAAGATGTCTCGGCCTCGCAGGGTCCCCGCAAGATGACAGTCCATACTAAAAAATTTATGCACGAAAACCTTCTTCTCCTGGTCACCTTATCTGGTGTTGTACTGGGTGTTATTTTAGGTAAGATTTTTACGGATCATTACTTTTATATTTTCTTTCAATTATTCGAGATAATTCTGTAAATGTCTATCAAATTATAAGGGCACTCACATTACAGTATATGTCTTTTTTTCATTTCTATCTCTTCTAACTAGTCTAAAACTTCTATTATTGAGACTTATACATACCTTAGTAGTAGTCTGTTATAGTCGTCGGCTATTTCTTAGAATTCCAATGGTGTACAGATATAACTTAATTGATTAATCATGCTATGATTCAGTAAGAATGAATCGTTTTTTTCTTAGGCATTTTTTTATAGATTCGAAAATGTCATTTTATGTAACGTACATATTTTTGAAATTTTTGAAAGATTATACATAATCAATCACTTCAACTTTAGTTATACTATTAAGTGTAATTATTTATTAGCATCATTTTTGAATAATGAAAGTGTTTATACGGCTATATTTTGTAACTCCATACATTAAATATGATTGTCATAAAATTAATTATTTAAAAAAATATAAATACTCGTAAAAGTATAAGGTTAAATGATACTTATAACTCTATATAACTAAAAATAGTATAAATAAAATTGCAAGAATTTTAATAACTCAACAAAAGCAGTAGTTAAAAAGATAAAGAAACAGTTTGTACTAAAAATAAGCAGATTAATCATAATAGTACAATTGACAACCAAGGAGATTATTTAAAAAAACTCGCATTGAATATCTTACTGAAAGAATTGAATACGCTATTATGTCATAACAATTAATTATGAAATTTTTTAAAAATTGACAAATTAAATTCTACTATTGATCTTTTAAGTAGAAATTTTTACGCAGATATTGCTGTGATAAAATAATCCTAAATGAATACTGTAAAGAATCTTGAAAATAATAAATTAATAAAACTTACAAACAAAATCACTAGTATTTTAATTAATGATGAAAGAATTATATCTAAATTAATAAACAAAAAAAGGAAATAATAAGTTAATTATAATAAGAAAATTAAATAAGACATGATCTCTTAAGGACGTTCACCAGAAAATCACTTATACCTAGATTTTTTTCAAACTTTGAGAATAAGTACTATTTGTGAAGCTCTATCCAACGGTAAAATAAAAAATGTAGGTAACCGGCCTAACAATCTATAAATTTAGCTTCAAAGTTCACACATTTAACACGTGAGGTATAGGCCAAACCCTGTTTTTCAAAAGGTTTTATTCAACTGTATATACAATACAACCTAGGTTTTCGACAAAAACTAACAAACTTTTGTAGAGATAATAAGGAATCAAATGCGATGTTAAAAAAGGGGGGTATCCGCACTATTTTGTATGCTAAACGGACTTGAAATTGATAATATGATCAATCTTTCAGTCAGCTTACGGAGCTAAGTATGGCGACTTGGCAACACCGCATCAGCTGGCATCAACTGCATGTTTGAATTGTCCCCCAACTAGCACACTCCAATTTTTTTTCCACGTAAAAGTATTGGAGAAATAATTGAATTGACTCACTCAAATAAATTTTTTATATGCACAAATTCAAGAAGGTTGAAAAATAAAAACTATTAAATAATTATGATCGTAATAAATTTATGTTATTTATTCAAACATTGAAAATAAAATTTTTAAACTTTGATTTTTTACCTATCTAATAATAGACTAACATTAAATATTATCATATAATAAATATATATTTATTTCTTTTGTTTAGTCTTCAAAAACTCAACTACTTTATCTAATACCTTCGTATCTTTGGTTAATTTTATTTTGCCATCAATTTTTTCGCTGAACATACTAGTAATTCCTTGTGCTCCTTCTTTTTTGTAAACGTCTTGTATCTGTTGATATGTAATGCTGTGCTTAGCTAATTTTTTCAAAAATGTTTGAGATATAACGTTCTTCAGCTCAGTCAAATATGTTAATTTCACGTTAATCTGATTTTGCTCAAGTATTCCTTGACAGCAATTTATATAAGATTTTTTCGTATCAATAAGAAGTTGTCTACATTTTAAAATATCAACAAGTTTGTTTAGAACCCTGACATCACCAAGTGCATTGTGAAAATCTTGCAAATCTTTAGTATTTAAAAATTTTGTTGCTAAACATTCTAAGTTGAACTGCTTATGACCTTTTCTATCTTTAAGTTTCTTTTTGAACACTGTTAATGTGTCAGAAAATCCAGCAATTCTATCGAACTCTCGAAGCATGTTCTGAGTCATCACTTGTCGAATGAAAATTCGCGTATCAAATGTGGCATTGTGAGCTACTAGTAAACATTTTTTAGATGCTGATAATGATTCCAAAAATTGTTTAAAGGCGACTAGAGTTTCTTGAAGTGTCAATTTTTCAACTGGATCTCCACGGAGACAGAGCATCCGTGTTACACAAGCCAGTCGCTTTCGTAGCATGTCGTGAAATATCTTTTGTCGGGCCAACGTAAGAATCGAATTCAAACTTTCCACATTTTGCCGCAATTTGAACTATGTCTGCATCTTTATCAAGCCCAGTTGTTTCCAAGTCGAAGAATACAAGTTTCACTTTTCTATCAACCACGCATTCTTGTTCAACAGGCATGTCGATTTGCGAATTGAAACCACAGTAGCTTTGGTATGTGATACCTTCTGTCTTTTCTTGATTTTGCCTCAATGCTTCTCTATTTTATTTCAATTAAATTTTACATAACTTTTTAGCATGAGACGAATCCGCAAGCTTTCTTTTCAATCGTTTACGATCGGCGCCTTCAGCATGCAGGGCACTGAAACACTGTTCTTCAAAACCCAATCTAGTGCGAAAATTCAGAATGGCTTTTTCGCCATCATTCCATGTGCATACACTATCTCCGACTCGAACATCACAAGTTGCAGTCGTACTCAGGCATTGATTTTTATGAGCCTTATGGGCAACGACATTGTTAAAGCTTTCGTTTGTTTGACTTGAAGCGGCAACAGAAAATTTAGCAGCATTTGCTGCATATTTATTGAGCAATTGTACTAGTTTGTCATACAATTCATTGTTTATTAGTGTTAGTGTGTGTTTATCTTTATATTTACACCAGAATCCACAGTTTTCGTGGCATCCATAGAAATGGTCTGGTAATCTTTTCAGTTCCTTACATAATCTTTCACAATCGCCTTTATTTTGGGCAACAGCGTATGCAAAGCATTTTTTAATATGCGCTATAACTCCTTTTTTATTCATTTCTTTATGCAATGAACGCATATTATATTATTTTTCAATAAATGGTTTTTGTCAGCTAGTTTATGAAAAGTGATCACAGGATTATCTCTGCGTACAGCTGCAATCATTGAGCTATCCTCATCGCCAACTATGACTCGTACTTGCGATTTACTTTCATTCAAAATTTCGCTATGATTAATTAATTGTACGCCAGCATTTGCTTCCGTAGCCTTCGCGCTTCCTTGGAAATTTTTGCGACAGTCGTGATCGCTTTTATCGTGTCCCATATCACATTTTTTACATTTGCGATTCCTAGTAGTATAATCCAAAATTTTTCCGCTCAAAAATCCAATTATAGTACTATAACCGTTCAGGCTATCATAGCTTCGACCATTCCCGCGCTTACTCCAAGCCATGTCAAAAGACACTATTATATTTATTATTTCTCCTAGAGCTACGTCAAAAATTGCATTAGTTTTTTCATTGGAATGACTGGATTGAAGGGTAGCGAGGTGTGGATAAATATCATTAACTATATTTTTGGGCCTGAAAAAGTAATAAATTACATAAAAAAAAGTCAAGAATTAAATAAATTCGTATAAATATATATGTGTGAAGTTTGTATAATTTTATTCATTCAAATTTACAGCGGTTTGAAAAAAATTAAAAATACCACTTATGTCAAACATTCTTTTACATTGAAATAATCATTTTCATAAGATAATTTATCATAATTTATCAAGTGTCGCATATTACAAGAATGACGTTGGCTAAACACGCAAGGTCCTTGAAAAAAAAATCATCTTTACTACGACTTGATCCAGAAAAAGAGTAAAAAATATATAAATCACTTGCAAAAAAAATGTATACATTCAAACACAAAAGAATTTTGAAATGAAAAAAAAAAATTATATAATAACATTATGTATTATACAATAACATTATGTATAATCAAACTAATAATATAAATGTGTGTAAAAAAATTGATCCAGAAATAGTCATCAAGACTCAACAATGTAAAAAAAATATAGATAACAAATAGATAAATTAGAATGAAGTTGTTCGTTGACCAATACTGTGGAAGTTGTACAATACTGTGAAATCTCAATCATTGTAATAATTACTCGTACAATACAATTAACTACTCAAATGTGTATGACAGCGAGAAAGCTTACAATTCTTTGGATAACTTTTCAATATTCTCTATAACTAACTCCCTTTCTTCCATTGCTGCTCGCTTACAGCTTGCTTTCGCTTCTTTCTCTATCAGATCCCCAATCAACTTTTCATACTTTTTGTATAGTGTATTTGAAATTGGTGGAACATTTGCACAAGCAAGAATTTTATCTAAAGCTGTCTTTCCAGCACCAGAATAAACAGCACCTGTAATAATAATAATGTACATTATACATTTTTACTGAATATAGACTAAGTGATAATGTGATGTGAGTACTCTTTTAGCACAGAAGCAAACTATTTTGAAAGAGAAATCTAACTCAAAATAAATTTATACTTTGCCATTTGAAAGGCTTAAAATTATTCCTTTCTCTTGTAAGAAATTTAATTCTTTAATTACTAGAAAAAAAATTTTTTGTTTCCAAATTCTTGTCTATCTAGTGAATTGAATAAACAAAATACGAAAATATTATCTAATTTGAATTGATAATTTTCTGGCAAATATGATATGTTCATGTAAACCGCTTCGGTTTCTGCTAAGCCTTTATGCGTGATCCAAGAAGATTATTATTTTCATAGTCATTATAGTACATCACAATCAATAACACGCATTTACTTCCAAATCTAGTACATTTTTTTCTAGTACTAGAATCAT